AAAACATCTGGTATTGCTCAAAGTCATAGTGGAAATATCTATTTTTATTATCACAGTAGATTGTCTCCATTGCATATTTTGCAATGTGTCCAATTTTGATTCGTAAAAATTACTTTAGAAACAGTTTAATACCTTTCTTCCAGCATAAAAAGAATATACATTTTTTAAATGTGGATACTGAAAGTGAGAATTCGATTTTGGGGGGACATATTAGATGAACCATATTTATCATTTCAAATTTTTATTTTAAGTAGAAATCATTACTCACATTCATCTCATATGTAACTGAACTCCTTATTAATTCATTCAAAAGACATTAATTGAACATAGACTCTGTGTGAGGGTGCTAGAGCCTGTGTGCTGGGCACTAAAAAGACAATGATGAGCAGGAAAATACATGGTAATTTCCCTAAAGGATCTTACAGCAAACAATGTAAAATTACAGCAGTGAAATTCATGCATGATGCAATGAGACTGTAAGTCATAAGAGTGTGAGATTTTATGGAGGTTTTGCTCTGAGGAAGTGATACTATCAATAAGAGACAGAAAGAGGGCACCTGTAAATTTAGATGCAGAGTATTAGAAAGAGAGCTCAGGGAGGAGGAAGCAGCCAAAGAAAGTGAGTTCCAGGCATGAGAAACAACAGAGGCCCTGGGGCATGGCACGCTAAGGGAGAAAAGAGAAGGCCAGCATGTGGCAGGAGTATAGAAATAGAGAGCAGCTACTGGCCCCCGTGGCACATGCCTGTCTTTAATCCCAGCACTTTGGGAGTTGGAGATAGGCAGACCATCTGAGGTCAGGAGTCTGAGACCAGCCTGGCTGACATAGAAAAATCCCATCTCTACTAAAAACATAAAAACTTTGCCGGCGTGGTGGCATATGCCTATAGTTCCAGCTACTCGCGAGGCTGAGGCAGGAGAATTGTTTAAATCCAGGGGACGGAAGTTACAGTGAGCAGAGATCATGCCACTGCACTCCAGCCTGGGTGACAAGAGTGAAACTCTGTCTCAAAACAAACAAACAAACAAAATAGAGAGCAGCCTGGGATACAGGAGGTTGGAGCATCAAATGGAGGTGAGACCAGGCAGGATGTGGTGAGCCATGGTAAGATTTTACTATTCCATCTGCAACATTACAGCGAGCTTGACTTAAGAAAAAAAAATCATATTTGCATTGATATATTAGAAAAAAGATTAGAAGTAAATGAGGGAAGAGTCCTTAAGAGGCTAATGTATAGTAGTACCAATGAATACTCTAGAATCTAACTACCAAAACAATTCAGTGTATGAAATGTTCATCTGTGACCCTTTCTAGACAACAACTTTTTTTTTTTTTTTTTGAGACAGGGTCTTACTCTGTCATCCAGATTGGAGTGCATGCAGTGGGACAATCACAGCTCACTGCAGCCTCTACCTCCTGCTCTCAAGCAATCCTCCAGCCTCAGCCTCCTAAGTAGCTAGAATTACAGGTGTGTGCCACCAAACCTGGCTAATTTTTGTATATTTTTGTAGAGATGGGGTCTCCCTATGTTGCCCAGGCTGATCTTGCACTCCTGGGCTTAAGCAATCCTCCCTCTTGGGCCTCCCAAAGTCCAGGGATTACAGGCATGAGCCACCATGTCAAGCCCCTTCTTTTTATTAAGCTCATCTCTTACCACAGTCTCAACTCCACAGCCATACACTATAGACATTCTTCTTCAATGAATGTTATATCTTTTCTTCCTCTGAGTTTTACAAAGTGTTTCTTCTCAGAATGCCACTCTCTTTTCTCTGCTTTTCTTTAAAACCTGCCTGAAAGCTTACCTCCTTTAGACGACCTTGACAGCCTTCCCCAGAAGAGTTCATTTTCCACCTCTTGCTGACATTAACACCTTATAACAACCAGATATATAACATTTATCACATTGTACAGTGATTATTTTTATTTTCCTTTGCCAACATGTCAGAGGACTTCAAGCTATTGTTTTAAGCCATTCAAAATTATTAAATGAAAATTCATGGAAGCCCCAAATATAAAATTTAAGTAAACCGTTTTTTCAACTGAGGCAGGGTTTTTGTAAGGGTTTGATTATCCCTCTAGATTTTCCTCAGAGAAGAATCTAAAATGACCCCAAGTTGGCATCATCTGCAGTCCAAAATGATGCATTAATAAAATACACATGAATTTAGTATAAGTAGAAGTGACTTCCCAACACAGCCATTCTTTTTCTTTTCTTTTTATTTTAAATAAAAAAGTTAAAAGTTTTTGGGTTTTTAAAATTATTATTCAGGGAAACATGTGCATATTTGTTATATAAGTAAATTGCATGTCACAGGGATTTTATATATGTATTATTTCATCACCCAGGCAATAAGCATAGCACTTGATTGGTAGCTTTTTGATCGTCACCATCCTTCCACCCTCCACCCTCAAGTAGGACCTGGTGTCTACTGTTTCCTTCTTTAGGTCCATATGTACTCAATATTTAGCTCCCACTTATAAGTGAGAACATGTGGTATTTATTTTCTGTTTCCACATTAGTTTGCTGAAGATAATGACCTCCAGTCCTTCCATGTTGCTGTAAAGGACATAATCTCATTCTTTTTTATGGCTGCATAGTATTCCATGGTGTATATATATCACATTTTCACCATTGCTGGGCATTTAGGTTGATTCCATGTCTTTGCTATTGGCAACACATCCATTCTAAGATGCTAGAAAGCCATCATCTATTAACTTTGCAGTTTTATAAATATGGGCCTAGTAACATCTCTGTACCCCACAAATTTCAGCATACAAGTGAAAGTCCCTGAATGATTTTTTTTGAAGCCATTGTTACTTGGCTTAATATATAAGATAAGTTCACCTGATCCAACCAGTTCAGAAGGCATTGGAACAGATAGGGCAAAGCAGAACATTGCTGAAGTCCAGAAACTCTCTCCATAGGGATTACCTCAAAAAGTGTCCTTCTGTCTTCTGGTATCTCCAATATCTGAGGTATCATTAAGGAATTTGTTGAACTGAGAATTATGAAATTTATTTTCAATTATTTCCTATGTAAATCTTCATTGGCAATCAACATCCCAGACATGTAGAGGCACTTAGAACTTCTTGTGTCATTATCAGCCTCTGGAGCATCAGCCAACATGAAAACAGAAAGAATCTCATCATACTATTCTGCTAAAAATGCATAACTTATCCCCTGGTACAGATTAAAGGAGAAATACATGCTGTCCATTTTCAGCAGGGTATACTTAAATAGCCTATTTTATATAGAGTAGTAACATTGCTGGTGCCTTCTAGGTGCTTACAATCAATACAAGTGCCAACATTATGTGCCAGGCAAGAACGAAAACTGACATAGAGCTTACATTGTATTATATCTGATTGACAATAATTTTTAAAATAAATATATAATACGTTATGGGTGATAAGTGGTCCAAGAGAAAATAAATAAATAAAGCACAAGAGAGATTAAGGAGTAATACAGGGAAAAGGTTACTCTTTAAATTGAGTGGTCAGGTAAAACCACTCTGAAAATATATTTGAGCAAAAGCTTGAATAAAGCAAAGGAGCAAATCATGAAGAAAACTTGAGAAGAAACCTTCCAAGCAGAAAAAAAAAAAATGAACACCTATCAAGTTGATCCCCGTCATTTCTCTTCTCTCCACCCTCACTGTCACTCTTACTTCATACCATCATTACTTGTTGCCTTGCTACCATTTCCTCCAATGTGTTCTCCTTGGCTGTGGTCTTTTTATTTTCAATACAATCTCCACAGGGATATCTGTGTGATTCTAAACTGAAAACACATAGTAGTATCACATCACCCGTAACTTAAAACTTTCAGTATCTTCCAATAATCCACTGATAAGAGTCTAAATTTATGACACAATATTCATTATCAGACTACTGCCCATCTAATTAGATTCTCCTGTTTACCCTAGTATGCACTAAACTACTTGCTGTCCTTAAAATGCTCCATGTTCTTAGAACATGTCTTCCTCTCTGCTTGAAATAGCCTTCATCCTAATTAGCCTTTAAGACTCAGCTCTCACTTCCCCTTCTTGGTTTTTATCAGTTCCTCTTACCTACCTGACCAAGGTAGTCACACTTTACTGTATGCACTCATAGTACCCTGAATACAGCAACTGTTAAAACTACTGGGTTTGTAGTTGCTCTTCTGTCATTACATTACATTATTTACCTCCTTGAATACAGAAACTTTCTTATATATATATATCTCCAGAATCTACCTTAGTGCTTGCCAAATTACATGTCATAGATAACTGGTAAGAAATGGGAAAAAATTATATATTAATGTGATAAGATGTCAGAGAGACTGAAACTCAGAAGAATCAGATTAACCTAAGTTTGGATAACTTTCTTACACTTACAGGCTTTGGTTTTCTCATTTTTTAAATTATGTCTCTTAACTAGATACTCTTAAAGGTCCATTCAGCTCTGAAAGGTTCCAAATATTTCTGTTTGAAATTGAGTTGTGTTAATGTTGTTCTTCTATTCAGCAAAGCCCCAAAGCAGACAAAGTCCTCTAGCCACCTGAGAAAGTCAGTTATCTTCCAAACAGTAAACAACATGTTTCTTAATCCCTGGCAGGAGCATTTCCAATCTTTTATAAATAGAAATTCTTTGGTAAGATAAACAAAATTGATTGAACCTGGAGATTGAGCATTCGGAAAATATGAGCAAACCTCTCTGTTTGGAAGATGAGCATGATTTTGAAATGTTTCATCTGAAGTTGGCTTGTACACGAAAATCTCATTTTAGATGTAAATGGCACTCTTGCTTGGAGTCTTTCTGCTTAATCTCTAAACTCATCTGCTAAGGTCCAAAGTATTTAGCAAAAGAAGTATTTTTTAACAAAATTCATACTTCCCTAATGATATTTGGAACTAAAAATGTTTTCTTGCTTATGGAATATTCATTATTGGCTATTTGGGGTGCATTTGCAAGCCACAAAAATCCTCCACTGATTATAGACTTTCTCCAATTTGTTATAGTGTGTTCTGGAAGCAACTCAATTTGGTCAAACTGGAGCCAAGGTGTAGCGGTCTTATGCTGGAAATACATGGCAGCCAAGTATCATGTTATGCTGCAACACGGCTGAGCAGGAGAGATCATGTGAGACATTTGGAATACAGGAAGATGTTTTTTCAGCTACTGTTCAAAGTCAATATATAAGAAAAGCTGACACTAAGCAACTACAAATATAATAGCCCTGTGAATTCTACAACTGTAGTTATGTGTATTTGTGGGACAGAATCAACTGAGTTTTAGGGTAAAGTCATTGATGACAAGTGGCAGAAATTCAGCTTTCTGTGAAAGTAATTTCAATCTCTTCTGCTAAACATAAGCCTTCATCGTCAGACTGTCTGTACTGACATATAGAGAGAGTTCATGTTATATCTAATGCAAAAGCAAAATCGGTTATATCCCACATTCTTTCTAAATGGTGGTTTTAAAAAACAAGCTTAGGTCAAAAAGATTCCAATGATTTCAATTTACTTCTGCAAAACTTGTGTTAAAAGTAGAATAGATTTAGAGAAAAACACCACTTTCTCTCTCTCTCTCTCCTCTCTCTCTCTCTCTCTCTCTCTCTCTCACACACACACACACACACACACACAAATGCACGCAGAGTAGCTTAGTACTTGACAAGTTTGTTTTTCTGGAATGTACAGTTTGTATTGGCATGAGGTAGTAATTTGGCAGAAAGTTAAAGAAGTTGTTTGGTGAGCAGTTTAAACTATAAAAACCCTGTGTAATTAAAAGCAATAAATGACTATTAGGAAAGTTTCTTGCAGTGGTTAAGAATCAATGTATGAATTGAGAGAAAGCAATGCTCTGTTTTCCTTACTTCACAGTTCTTACAAACCCAGTCCTCCAAATATGCCTTCTATTTAAGCAAAAAATGTTTCTTAACTATGAAATAGCCATCACATTCCAAAAACCTAGCACCAGAACCTTGTGCTTTGACACTTAGGTGAAAGAGAGAGAGAAAATTTGAAAATCACAATTTATTGTTTAACATAGAAGATAGAAACTGCAACGCCACACCAACTTTTATTGCTGTCAGATACAATCACAGAAGTCTCTAAGATTGATTCAGGTTTATCAGAAAAATTGTTGACTCAAGTTCAGCATTCCCTGTTCAAGAAAGCAAAGGTGCAGAGAATACATTTCTAGACACTAATATTTGTTTATGTTTTTCAGTCTGGGACTTGAAATGAGCAGTTTTAATTATGAGAAAAATTCATTTATACACAAGAATGGCTTTCATAAAGGTGCCTAACCCAGAAAAGACTGCTACACATTTCTAAAGATGCTTAATGCACTGACATGCTGGATCTGTAAAGTGATATACATTTCATTTCCAAGATACTATTATGCACATCTACCCAAATAAATACCTATAATTTCTCCCTTTTCTTTCCATAGTGACCTTGCCGAGGCCATGGGAGCCAATTCCTGACTATGCTTATGTGTATTATCATGGAAGTAGCCAGTATAACAGCACAAACTTCCTAATAAATTTAATTTGTTAAGATTTTCTATTAGTGTAGATGATGAGCATGAAAAGAGAAATGTAAGCAAGATACAATTGTTTGGGTTTATGTTTGAAAAACAGAGGAAAATCAATAATGTGGTTGGAGAAAAGGCAATTTTTCCAGGAAGCAAAAAGAAAGACTTTCATATTTTTTCTTTCTTTCTTTCTTTTTTTTTTTTTTTTGAAACAAGACTCTCACTCTGTCACCAGGCTGGAATGTGGCAGCACAATCTCGGCTCAATGTAACCTCCACTTCCCAGGTTCAAGCAATTCCCCTGCCTCAGCCTCCCAAATAGCTGAGACTATAGGTGTACATTACCATGGCCAGCTAATTTATTTTTTTTTATATTAGTAGAGACAGGGGTTTCACCATATTGACCAGGATGGTCTCAGTTTCCTGACCTCGTGATCCAGCTGCCTCAGCCTCCCAAAGTGCTGGGATTACAGGCATGAGCCGCTGTGCCTGGCCTACTTTCGTATTTCTAGGAAGGGAAAACTTGTCTTATCTTTAACGTTTCCATTTAACTTTGGTGACAATGATATAAATAGAAAATCCTTCTGCTGGAACACCTAGAATTCACCTCTGAGCTTTAGCTTTTAAGAAGTGTGTGAGTTTTACCCTATTTCCCTTCCTGAATACAACATGGCCTTGCCCAATATCAAAACTTCCACATAGGAAATGAGAATCTTCTCCTGAATCTTGTGTACTCTATAGGAGGGGTTTCAGACCTGTCAGTAAAGAGCTACCAGTGGGTCTCCAAGCTTTATGGAATTACTCATTGCATAGGCTAACTCTCCAAAAGAAGCAGAAGAATCCCTGTGTATAGGTAGAAAGTTCTGGGAGACACAACCTTCTACCTATTCTGATGGGGAAATGGGAGAAATTAGTTACCACTCTGGCCTGTTTTTCCTTCTTTTTTCTCTTTCCCAAGTGTTTACTCTTCCTTTGTAACCTTCCTGTCCCTTCTCTTTTGTCTTGTCTTCTCCCTCTACTTTTTTCTCATTCTTTCTCTACCATCTTCTTCCTTTACCTATCTTTTTCTTCTCTACTCTTTTGATATTTATCGCTCTTTCACTCTTTTTTCAGTTTTGCTAGTAGCCCACTAGTGTCAGGCACTGTTCTATGCAATGCAAACATACTAAATTAAATTTTAAAACTTTACAGATTTGCACTCAAGGAGGTCACAACTTCTTGGCAAACATAAGAAAGCAGAAAGATGTTTTCACCAGTGTTTATTACATTCAAGTTTAAGACTGAACTTAATCATAAATATCACTTAAAAAATATTGAAAGCTAATGCCTTTCTTAGAATATTTAAAGCGGCACTTCATAGGTAACTTATTTCTGGTCAGTACTATTATCAACAAATTGTTTGCCTAACATCATGGAATATTTTACAAGTATATTGACGGGCAAAATAACATTGTGTATGAGTTCTCTGGGGCATCTTTCCAGGAAGTCTTTGCTATCAACCAACCAGACTCAGAATGTGAAGATTCTCATAGCACCCTGTATATTGCCATCTTACAGACTCGGGAGTGCAATAAACACTTTATTTCAAATAAATGAATTTAATCTGCTGTGGTTTGAATATCTGTCCCCTCCAAAACTCATGGGGAAATTTAATCTCCAATGTGCCAGTAATGTGAGGCAGGGCCTTTAAGAGGTCATTAGTCATGAGAGCTTGGCACCCATGAATAGATTAATTGATTCATGGTTTAATAGATTAATAGTTTATCATGAGAATGGAACTCTTGGCTTTCTAAGAAGAGGAAGAGATACTTGAGCTAGCCCACTTACCCCATCCCTCTCCGTGTGATTCCCTGTGCCACTCAGGGCTCTGCACAGAGTCCTCATCAGCAAGAAGGCTCCCACCAGATGTATCCTGTCTACCTTGAACTGCCCAGACTCCTGAACTCTAAGAAATATATTTTGTTACTTAGAAATTACCTAGTTTTAGGTATTCTTTTCTAAATAACAGAAAACAGACTAAGACATAATTTAATTTACCCATGACCACCTCCACATCCTGTTATCAATATCCATTGTTAATATGCTGCAACTATATTCCAGAAAGCTGTGAAATTCTTTCTCTATTATTTTGGGGCACGTTCTTTCTCACAGGGTATCTAGGATCCTGGACATTTATATGTCTTAAAAGTTTAATTTTGTTCCTACCTCAATTCACATTGAAACCCTAACCCCCAATATCTCAGAAAATGTCTGTATAAGGAGATAGGACCTTTAAAAAGGTAACTCAGTGTAAATGAGGCTGTAAGGATGGAATACAACCCAGCCTCACTGGTGTTCTGGTAACACAAGAACAGAAAACCAAACACCACGTGTTCTCCCTCATAAATGGGTGTTGATCAATGAGAACACATGGACACAGGGAGGGGAACGTCACACACCAGGGCCTGTCGAGGGGTAGGGAGTTAGAGAAGGGATAGCGGGGGGGGGGATTGGGGAGGGCTAACATTAGGAGAAATACCTAATGTAGATGACGGGGGAGTGGATGCAGCAAACCACCATGGCACGTGTATACCTATGGAACAAACCTGCACGTTCTGCACATGTGCCCCAGAACTTAATGTATGATAATAAAATAAAAATTAAAAAAGAAGTGGAGATTAAAACACAGACATATATATGCACAAAGGAAAAGTCGTGTGAAGGTGCAGGGAGAAGACAACCATTTGAAAGCCAAGGAGAGAAGCCTCAAAGGAAAGCAGCCCTACCAGAACCTTGGTCTTGGATTTCCAGTCTCCGGAATGGTGAGAAAATACATTTCTGCTGTTTAAGTCATCTAGTCTGTGATATTTTGTATGGCAGCAGCACCAGCAAACTAATTCCACATGGATCTCAATGTCATTTCTTAATAAAAAATCCCATACACTAACTCTACACTCCTACGTTAACTAGCTCATCTCACACACTGACTCCCATCCCACACACTAACATCTGAGGGTCTACTTCACAGGGAACCCAACTTGAGACAAGATTATTTGACTTTTTCTCAGGCCTGGAACTCTAGATATATGCCTGGTTCCTGAACAGAAAGAAGACCGTAAGTTGAAATTGAGAACCAGACCTAATAACGTATTAGAGCTCAAGCACCATCACTTTTGAAACTAACAGCCTAACCTAATGGAAAGACTACCCTGCAACTTTAGAATAGGGTCTTAGGGTGCCTGCTAGCAAAGCAGTGGCAGTGTCCACCATTTCATCAACCAGGAAATCGTGGTCATCAACTGGGAACTCTTGTACTTAGTTGAGTAACTTAAAGTAACAATGCTAATGACTATCTGGGTTTCAAACCTAGATGGCCATCACATCACCTGGAAGCTTTCTTAAAAATACAGGTTCCTGGGCTCTACTCTAGACCCAGTGAATCAAAATTCTCTAAAGAAAGGGCCCAGAAATATAATTTTAAAATCTTCCCAGATCATTCTAATCATGATGAATTTAGGATCCAGTGGCATAGAGTATATGTAAGATATCCGTGTGGACTCCCAGAGGTAATGGGAGTATCACCTAGCAGGTGATAAGGCAAGAGGATTCAATTGTCAACAGAATGGTTGCCATATTTGCATTCAGAGACTAGTGAGGTCTCAGGAGAAGGCACAGTATGTTATAAGTAAAACCTGTTTGGATCTGGGATTCAGATAAACCCAGATTCAGTTTCAGCTCATCTACTTACCAGCTGTGTGTCCCAGGGAAAAAAGTAAATTCTTATTGTCTCAGTTTCTACACCTGTAAAATGAGGATGCGAGCACCTCACTTTAGAAGGTCACTGTGGGAATTACACTGAACTTCCTGTCCCTCATCCCTCCC